TATTGTGAGGAGATGGATCGCAGACATTGAGTCTGCGCAGTTGATGAGCTTTTTCCTGGAAGGGTCGAAGGTTCGTTTTGTTGCAGGATGTTTGAGGGATCGAGCCAGGGATTGGTGGGAGTTAGTTGGTGATTTGTTAGGAGCCCCAGCCGTTGAGGCAATGACTTGGTCAGATTTTGTGACCCGATTCAGGGATGAGTTTGCGCCAGTTGTGGAGCTTTAGCAGCTATCCAGAGAGTTTTTGGATATGAGACAGACTAAAGAGACCGTGGCGGAGATCACTGCCAAGTTCCGGGAGAGAGCTTTGTTGGTACCCCAGTATGCGGGGGATAAGGAGATGAGGAAGACCCGATATCATGATATGTTGAGAGCTAACATTCAGGAGCATGTCAGCTATTCGGCCTGCCTGACCCTGGAGTCCATGATTGTCAGGGCGCGGGAGAGGGAGATTAATTTAGAGCACCTCAGGAAGAGGAAGTTAGAGACAGCGCAGGTTGCAGGGGTTTCGGGGAAGAAACCCAAGGGATTCGACGCGAGGTCGAAGGGCCAACAGGGCAAGACCACTGTGGAAAGTGCGGTCAGTCACACGAGGGAGTTTGCAGCACTGGTCAGGTGTATAATATAGTCACACGAGGGAGTTTGCAACACTGGAAAGTGCGATCAAGAATCCCGAACAAAACAACTAAAAAAAATGCATAATATAGAACACAACCTCCTATAATTACAAAGAGTATATTCTTAATGAGAAAGCATGCATCAAAGATCGAGCCAATCCAAAATGGTTCTGGAATGGTCATTTGCAACAATGGAGCTCGAGCTACTTCAAGATGGTGGTGATTTTTTCGTTCAGCAACTCCATTTTGGTCAGGTGTATTAACACAAGAAGATTCACAAAGAATACATTGTTGAAGCATGTAAGACTTAATCATGTTAAAGGTATATTGTTTTTAATTATCACTATGCAAAGTTTTCACATAAACACTGATATGTATTTTGATCTCATCAACAAATGAACAAAAATAAGTGAATACATCAGAGCGATTTTTCATAGGATATAACAATTAAAAAAAATAATTGAATACATTGGTATGATTTTTGTAGGATATAGCACATACAAAAATAAGTGAATACATTAGAGAGATTTTACAAGCATCCTATACATTAGAGTAAACCAATTCAAATAAGGATGTGACTCATTTATTAACTCTAGGGGTCAAATGAACTCGTTGATATTTAGCAAACTATCACAACTCACAATTTAGGTATGATGGATGACCAAATTAGGAATATAATCTCTTCAAATTTGAAGAGATTGGTGACCTAAATGAAAATGTAATTTAAACAGAGATAATGATAATAATCCAAATAGGGATTTAGGTCTCTAAAGTTCAAATACATAATGTCCACCAGATTCTTGTCCTCTATCAATTATTTACTTTGTTGAAAGATCTTGAAAAACATAATCAGGAAAAATGTGACACTACAATTTAATCCATGAGTAACTTCATTGATTGATAGCAAATTAAAAGAGAAATTAGGTAGGCTTAACACTGAAGATAATGTAATAGATAGGGTGAGATTAGGATTAGTCCTAAGGAATTAAATATCTTCATAGGCTACGACAAACCAGAAAAAAATATCCTTATCGTTATTATAAATTTTTATTTTTAAATATATATATATATATATATATATATATATATATATAATGGGCCTTGTGCAGAAGCCCACTTTGCCCCCTCAATGCCCGTGCCAGATCCTATAACTTTAAGGATAGACCCATCAACAACGGTAACATAGGATATATACCTATGAGTATGTAAGTTGGAGAAGACACTAAGGTTACATATCATGTGATCTGAAGCACTAGAATCAATAACATATTTGGACGCATAAGATAACACACATTTACTATAGATGTTTGTCTCAGGAAAAATGGCATCTAACACATGCAAATATTTGTATCCCAAATTTTGAACACACACTTCCGAAGATATAGTAATGGAACTAGAACCAAGAACTACTTGACCACCCTTAGTCAGTTTCTAATCTTTCTGGAAACTAGGTCATAACTTCAAGCGGTTTCAATAACAAAAATATTATTTGGCAGAAGAAACAACATAATCACATGATTCCTAGGCCAAAAAACTTAGAATACAATACACTCACATGTTGCCCGAATCAAAACTTAAAATTTAAATAGAAGAAAAGTGCGTACTCATAGGGTGCCCTAGCCGAAAAATAGAAAATATGAATAATGAATGTTTCTTGAATAGTAAAACCGATATAAACATTAAATTCTTTATGTACAATGTTCGTGATGAACAATAAGTCGGTCGTGATATTTAGAATGAACAATGGAACTAATGTGAACAATACTCAAGATGAATAGTAAATTAGCATGAACAATACTCATGATGAATAATAACTCACTCGGATAAACAATGTTTCCACACTCATAAGGTGCTCAAGAGAAATAATTCTTTAACCCAAAGATTGGGTTTGATACCATGTAATTAGTAACCATAATGCAAAGAATACTTGTGTTTACTTGAGAAAAAATACGAACTGAATACACAACTACATATATATATATATATATATATATATATATGTGTGTGTGTGTGTGTGTGTGTGTGTGTGCAAGAGAATAAGACTAAAACTAAACCTTATTAGCCATTTTGGATTATTTTAACCTTCACTGCCATATACACTTCAACATATATGATTGTAGTATTTGATATATTCTCCAACAAAGTTCTATCACATGCCCATTACATTGTCCTCATTTCCATAATTTCCATATTCCTCCCATGCTTCTTCTTAATAGACCAACATTCCAATCCATATAACATAACTAACCTAACTAACATCCTAAGAATTTCCATTTAAGTTAAACTCGACCTTCCTATTACAAAAAACTCCTATACATGCCCTCCACTTTAATCATCATGCATTAATACGGTAGGTAATGTTGTCCTTAACACCCTTTCCTTATAGATAATAGACACCAAGTACTTTAAACTTTCCTTTAGGTATAGTACTTTCTCCAAGATATGTACTTTTAATCCTTCATCATTACACGCCCTGCTGGAATTGCACCAAAGATATTATGTCTTAATTATGTTAATCTACAACCCCTTTTTTTCTAACATCGATCTCCACATACCTAAAGTTCGGTCCTAATACCTACCACCAACACAATGTTATAGGAAAAAAAAACATACACCGTGGCTTAGAGAAATCATGTCGATCATTAAAGCAAAAATGTATGGCTAAGAGACGATCCTTTATGTGATCTAATTCGATAGGGAAAAAGTCAATGCCAATGAATAGGCTTCGTATACAACTATACACGTAGCAGACTACTGCAAATAGAAAATATTATGTATAGGTTGTAGCTCTTATATACCTCCTTGTTACCCTTCCTGCTTACAGAGTCCTCCAAATCGTCTCCCGTAGTACACCCATGTATGCCTTCTCTACACCAATGAGCATTATATATCGCAATTTTTCTCTAAATTTCTCTAAAAGGTGTATGAGGAGGTGAGCATGTTAAGCGTCGCTCTCCCATCATATACATGGAATCGAAATGATTTTCTTATATAGTTGTTTCACATCACAACATGACCTCTAACATTCTTTCCCATAGTTTCATTGTGTTACTATGAAGCTTTATACCTCAATAGTTGTTGCGGCTTTGGGCATATCCCATGTTTGTATATTACTATCACAATACTAGATCTCCACTCCTATTATATCTTGTCGTCTTTAAAATGTTGAAAAGTTTCATTGGCCACCGAACTCCCTCTTTCCAAGGCACAACCACACACTAATAGGGATTTGGTTTGGCCTTGTGTATTTGTCCCTTCCCAGCCTCCTTAATGCATTTTCATTTCCTCACTTTTAATCTTTAGGTAGAAACATTCATCGTAAGTCTTTTGGAGTCTTTTAACGCTCTCCACATTCCTATCCCTCACAAATCAAGTTGCCTTACCAAATAAAGACCGAAAGTAATTACCACATTTTCTTCGTATATCTTCATGTTTCGGTAAAACACAAGGTTCTAAATAACGTAAGGCGTCACTTGGCGGCAATGTCAAGCCTCAAGCTTTTTTAGCAGTGGCGAGTCACGTTGTTTGTAAGGCGTGAATTAAGGTGGTAATTTTGTATATAATTAATATTTTTATATGTATTTTCAACTAGTTTTCTATTTTATACACATATATGAATTAAGGTGACGTTTTGGTAAAGTTTGGCGGCAGGTACAAGCCTTGGAGTTATGGCGGAGCTATGGCAAGCTTTTTAGAACCTTGGTAAAACATGAGCATATCAAAAGAAAGCTAAGATGCAAGTATATATCAAGAAGAACATAAATCATGAGCATGTCGAAAGAAAGCTAAGATGCAAGTATATATCAAGAACATAAATAAAGTACGTACTTAGTAGAGAAAAGTAGAAGACAAATTGTCAATACAAATCATTTGAAGGGAGGGAGTTAAATATTTTATGTTTTATAACCATAGATATAAGAAATCCAAAAATATGAAGTATCAATGTCTATTTTTTTTGCTTGAAAGCGTGGGTCTTAAAACAAGAATTTGTAATGACAAAATATGAGCCAAACTCTCTATAAGAAAGATGTGGGACCCATGCAAAACGAGCATGCATGCCACCCTTATCATTTTAATGTGATTTCGTTTTTTTAATTAGTATCCAACAGGCACCCACCCCAAAATGTGCAGATATTGGCCCTGTAATTCAAGTATCGTTCTTCATAAGTTTAATTTCCAAAATGGTTCACAAAGTTTACCTCTTTCTATCAGGAACAGATAGAATACATAACATGCATCATTGCCACCACTATACCAGTATTCTTATTGCAATCATGTAACAATAAAGCCATTTGTCTTTCCAAACCAGGGCTAAATTAGGACGTATAACATAGAACTATATGTACATGTGTATACTGAATCTACTGAAGAGAAAAATGACATTACCTGGCAAAAACAGAAGAACGGGTGAATTGGGTAAAGGACTTTCATTCCCATCTGCTACCACTGGGCAAAACCACCTGGGAGGTCCGCCATCAGGTTTAATGAAGTCTTTGGCTAAATCAAGATAATCTTTCACACTCTGAGTTCCATAGCCATCATCCCACAAAGGTTCAAGCTTTTCTTCTTTCCATCTACTCTTGTCATCAATAACATTTGAACCAAGTATCTCCCTCCTTTCAACATCATTCAAAGACCCAACTCTCTTATTTAAAGAAGCTCCCTTAACTGAATTTGTAGACTTCTCAAGAGATGAATCTGATGCTGTTTTAGTGCACTTAACTGAAACTCGGGAGGAGAGATTCTTGTAATAACCTGATTTCAAAGCAAAACATGGTGACAAATTCACAACTGAAGTTGTAGCTTCTACAAACATGTCTTTAGACCAGATTCAAATTTGGTTTCTTGTATCACAATTTGCTATAACCACTTGCAGTTTGCATTAAAGATTGAGGGTTGTAGCTTCAGCAAGAATGGCTCAAAAACAGTTACCAGTTTTGTATCAAGCGAATGGTGAAAACCCATACAAGGACAACGAAACGTAACGTGAGGTTTTTGAACAGAAATAGAAAGCAGAAGGTGAGTGGGTGTACGAGTACCAAACAGAAAGCTTCCACATGCAACAATTGTTAACACCAAGGAAAGTGGTAGAGATAGAATCCTAGAAAGGGAATGATGCGCAAGTACAGCGGAGAATATGTATTTCGTCCTTTAATGTTAGTCTTAATGCAGTTTAAATTTGGCGTACCTAAGTGTATGCTTGATTGATTTTGAAATAGGACAGTTAACTACTATGATAAAAGTGAATTCTTTTATATTGGACTATTTGGTTCGTTTGGATTTTTGGATTGATTTGAATAGAACCAAATTAATGTGTTAGATTGGTTTTGGATATGTAAAAAAACCAAGTACTCAAAAAAACCGAATAAAACTTTGATATTTATTTATTTATATTATTTATATTTTATATAAATCTTTAAATTTATTATTTGTAAGTTATATCTTAAATGCTATATAGTAATTATTTGGTGATACGACACATGCTAATCATGGACGAGTAATCATTCTTATTTGTTTAGAAAGGGGGATTTAGGCATTTCATGTCAATTGCTTACCCTAGATTTCAATTTCCTTTGAGATATACCTAGATGAAAGAAAGAAATTACAAGAATGGTTTGCTAGGAATGGTTGGTGTGCATCTCACCACTATACTTGGATTTCATTATATAGGGTGAATTGCATGCATCTTAAAGCACATTTTATTGATCTTGAATAGAATTTACGCAAGAAGGTTTCGAATATTGTCCCATATCGAGTCACAAAGGGAGTCAAACCGGATAGAAGATTGAATAATGCTTGTTGGATTAGGGGATTGATACATTTTTAACTATCATTGTTTGACAATGCAAGCTCTAATGACACGACTGTAGCTTACTTGAAAGAAAGAATGGAACAATGGGGCAGTGATATACCGAAGGGAAAACATATCCACGTGAGATATATTGTACCATATCATTAATTTGGCGTTGAGGTCGAGTTCTTGATTCTTTTAGCCCTAAAATGGTCGAAGCTCTCTTATATAGACCCAAGATTGAATCCGAAAAATTCCATAATACTTTAAATTATGAAAAATAGATACTTGAAAATGAAGAACTTGTTGAAGGTATGTATTGTATCAAATTTTAACATTTAATTTTTTGTAAACTTTAATTCACAACATAATTATGTGCTTTTATTTATTTTTAGAGTTGAATAAGATGACGGAGGATCTAAGCATTCTTCATCTATGTAGGAATCATCTATAACATGAGAAATATGGAATCTCTCATTGATGAGTTCTTCTTGATGGTTTCTGACAAATTCATCAACTACCAAAATGTTATATCAGATCTTGAAACAGATAATTGACTAAGTCATGAACACTGAGATGTAATCCATGTCTAATGATCGAGCATGATCTTGATTAATCTTCCTCCCTGTAGCAAGGCTAGAAGGAGTAAGTAATTTTTTTAGAAAGAATACATTACATGTCATCTATACACATTTAGTAAGACTTGTAGTTAAAGGATTTAATCATACTCATGTCAATGATATGATCAAATCTTTTCTCAATTAGCTATGATTAGATCAATAAGGATATTATTTACCATAAATACATATTCTTAATATGAGATATGGCTAACAGATTTCAAGAAAAAACGCTTTAACAGACACCTACTTGGAGATGTCTATATAGCTTAGCTTGTAGGTTTTCTTAATCCAAGTTATCCTAACAAAATGTGTATGTCTTAAGATCCATTTGTGGATATAAAGAAAACATATCAAGGTTGGAATCAACATTTTAATATGAAAATACAAGGTATGCTTTTAGATCAAAATGAAGATAACAACTATGTTTACTAAGAACTAGTGGGAGCGATAGTGATATTCATAATCTTGTATGAACAAGACATACTTAATCATGAAAAACTACATTCTGACTATGCAATGCCCTTTCTAATTGACTGGAAAAGTGTTTCTAAGATGAAAGACTTACGAAAGACAAGATACATTCTGACTATGCAATGCCCTTTCTCTTTGACTCGGAAAGTGTTTCTAACATGAAAGACTTAAGAAAGACAATATACATTCTGGGAATGTAAAATACATAGGGGTTGATATAGATGAATGTTAAAGTTTTAAATCTTCATGAATATATTAACAATATCTTGAAAGAGATCAAGATACATGATTCCTTTGGAGGACCCTTGGTATTACCACATTGCACCATTTTGAGTCTGCCTCAAAAGATCCATCACATAGATTTTAGCTAGATAAAATGATTATATTCTAATTGCTTGATATATGAATTTATCATTTATGACATATTATGAACAAGACCAGGTATATGATTATGTTATGAACATATCATAAGATACCAATTGAATACATGAAAATTCATTAACTAAATATAGGAATATTCTAAGAGTACTTAAGAAGAACTAAGAGAATTTATATGAGATAATCAGTTTAGAAGAAGATCTTTATGTAGAGATCTACACAAGATGATAACTTCAAAACAGCTAGATATAGTTATGAATTATAATTAGATTATAACTTCATTAAGGAATAAAGAATAAGTTTCATTGGAATGAGGTCTTAGCAAAACATAACTTTCCAATCCACTACAAAATCAGAATACACTGCTACTTCAGAAGCTGCAATCAAATATGATTGGATAAACAAGATCATTGAAAAACTATGTTGAGTCCTTCCACTCAAGGATAACCTAGAAATATTTTGTGACTTCAAGAGTATACTTAATCAAGCTAAGAGACTCTAAATCACATCATAACACCAATCATATTCTCTAAGATATTTAACTATACTTAGGCTAAATTCAAATATGGAGATGATAGTATTCACACAAATTAAATTTAGTCTGACCCATTAATAAAGTTCTCCATTTAAGCTAAGTATGAATAGTCACACTTCAGCTATATGACTTCATGATTCTAGAAATGGGATTTTGATTTGGATTTAATATTTGGATATTGGAACATTAAGACAACAACTATTATATTGTCCTGAAAAATTAGGATATGATCATCACATCAATACTTGTTGTGTTCTATATTAACATGTTTAATCCATTAATAATATTATTATTCAAAAAGTTCATAGTCGGTCATAATTATGGGAGCAATTATGAAGTAAGACTAACATGAGATGGATTGGTTGACTTTCACAAGATGAAAGTAAGCAAGGTTTTGTAACCAAGATTCATAAGTACTTATCAAAGAACTAGTATTAGACATGACCCGTACCAAGATCACCTCATGGATTGTTATCATGAGTGATACTTGATCAAGGTGTTATATGTGTATCCATAATAACTAAGATATATAGTGGGACTTAAGTATAGGGAGTGTTGTGCTTTGATGTGGTCAAATGCTTATCTTTAACCGAGCAGTTATAAAGGCCATTGTCAAGGTATGGTGTGAACTATGAAAGAGGATTATTGTAACGTCCTAAAATTAAGACCAAAATCTTCATTTTTAAATTAATATAACTATCATCCAAAACATAATCATGAAACCAGGGTGGAACAAAGTATATCAAATACATCATAAAACATCAAAGTAATCATAAAATGTAGAATGAGGTGGTGTGTACACTACAATCATCATGGGCTCTTCCCTACGAACCAGAATTACCTGAAACATAAATTGAAAATTGTAAGCACAAAGCTTAGTGAGTTCCCCAAAATACCACATACCATACATAATAAACACATAATGGGCCCCGCTCGGTATACAGATCTGTCGGTCATCGGGCCCCGCCCGGCATCGATCCCCTCCCGGTATACATGTAATCATATAACATACAAATACATAACACATGCAATAATCACAAAGATAAATAGCATACAGAATGGTCATCGGGCCCCACACAGTAAGCATACAAGCACATAACACATGCAATAGTCACGTAGACATCTAGCATCCTAACATAACAAACCACGAGTCGGCATTGGTGCCTTCGATCCACTAAACACAATGAGGAAACTCACCTCTAGCTACTGAAATATGCAAATAAATCTCTACCTGTTGGTCCTGAAAATCTATATGCTATCATCATCAAAATAATATACAATTATTAGTTAGATTTCGACCCATAACCAATAATCTAATCTAATTACATAACCAGGTTAAAAGACCATTTTACCTTTTATCTAACCTGGCCTAAAGCCAAGGCCCAACTCAACCACTCAAAAGGCCCAAATCCTAAATGATAGCCCAAAGCCCAACTTATGGTCCCATCTTCTAAATTGGGCCCAAAACACATCATGGGCCTAGTTTTAAGGAAGATCGTAATACCAATCCTAAGTCCAAAATAGAAGTATAATGTCCCAACAAGGCCCAAACCGAGAAGGTTAGGCACAAACGCCAAATTGTTGAGTACGGGGCATACTCAGCTCGTACGCCCAACGTACTCATCTGCTTACTAGATCTCTTCATTATGAGCTTAATCAGTTAAGACCTTCAGCTATACTCTTAGATCTGGTCCCTAAGGGTGACTTATCATGTAAAGTTGGCAACTTTACACACATGCATGGCTTATTGGGACTCAAAGCTAAAAAAAAAATGAGCTTAATAAAGATCTTAATACATGCATGGACCAAAAATCCTGCATGAATTTTGCATTTTTATGAATATAGGGGCTAAATGGAGCTAAGATCTAGCATCCATTGCTTCTATAGTAGATCAAAAGCTCATATTTAACTCAAAAGACTCAAAAGTGCACAAATAAAACCATAGAGTAGATCTAACACAAATGATCATCAAGATGAGAGCTTTTTACCTCAAAATGCTTGCAAATGTGAAGGGAATCATG